AGAGAGAGAGAGAGAGAGAGAGAGAGAGAGAGAGAGAGAGAGAGAGAGAGAGAGAGAGAGAGAGAGAGAGAGAGAGAGAGAGAGAGAGAGAGAGAGAGAGAGAGAGAGAGAGAGAGAGAGAGAGAGAGAGAGAGAGAGAAAGAAAGAAAGAAAGAAAGAAAGAAAGAAAGAAAGAAAGAAAGAAAGAAAGAAAGAGGGGGGAGAGAAGGAGAAGGAGAAGGAGAGAGAGGGGGGGAGAGAAGGAGAAGGAGAGAGAGAGAAAGAAGGGGAGAGAAGGAGAAGGAGAAGGAGAGAAAGAGAGAAGAAAGAAAGAAGAAAGAAAGAAAGAAACAAAGAAAGAGAAAAAGAAAGAGAAAAAGAAAGAAAGAAAAAGATAGAGGGGGAAGAGAAGGAGAAGGACGAGGAGAGAAAGAGAGATTTTGTTCCTCATGCAATCAGGGAGGCAAGTGTTAGGTCCAACTCTGACACCCACCTGTGATAGCCCTTTCCAGGAACATCCATTGTGCAAGTCTCTTTTTCTACACCCCAGAAAAGAAAATAAAAACTCTGTCTCTTAGGAGGAAAAGTGTGGGGCAAATTCCACAAGGGATGGGTGTGCTCTTCATTTAAGACACTTTTCTTGAATCTACAGAGTCATCTCCCCATCCTCACCCACCCACCCATCCTCCCTCCCAGTAAAAACCCGGAAAAACTTTTGGCTGCAGGGAACAAATCAACCCAGGTGCTGAAGCTTCAAAGGGGGGAACAGACTCACTCCTAAGGTCAGCTTGGAAGAGGACATGAAGGATAAGGAGCATATACTGCAAAGACAGGTCTTTAAAGAAACTCAGGGCTGGATTTTGGAGCTTGGGATTGTCCCGTCCACAGCAAACTCAGTCATGACCCTCCGAGCCAAGGGATTGGTGGTCTTGAGAAGTTCAGCTGCAGAGGTTCGGATGCCTGAGGCCCCCTTGCCGCCTTTCTTCTGAAGGAGAGCCTTAAAGTCCTCGTTTCTGCTCGAGGCTCTGCTTGTGCTGGAAGGGCATTCGTTGATCACAAGCCCTGCGGCGTTCTTGATGGGCATCTGGGAATTTGGTCGGTTGCCAAAAGAGTCACTGGGTTCCTTCCATCCCAGCAACTTCCTCTTGGATCTGTGAACAAAGGGATGATGAGACAAGCTCGAGGGAGAAATAAAGCGATGACCACTATCATGACCGACACTTGATAGCCTGGGAGCCAGCTGGAAGCTAGTGAAATATTTCTAATGGTACACAAGCTACAAGTCATCCATCCACCCATCCATCCATCCATCATCATTCCTTCCATCCATCATCCCATCCATCCATCCATCCATCCATCATCCCATCCATCCATCCATCCATC